TCTTCAGGACAAGTCTCTGATTGTCCATGAGTGGCCCAGCCAAAGCCCAAATTTAAACCCCACAGAAGATCTGTGGAGAGACTTGAATAAACACTTCCCATCTGATAAAGAGGATCTGTCAGGACGGATGGGATAAACTGCCCAAATCCAGGTCTGCAAAGCTTAAAGAGATAATAGAGGCTGTAACTGCTGCTAAAGTGGCTTCTACACAGTACAGAATTAAGGGTCTGAATACTTTTCTAAATGGCAGATTTCAGATTTAGATTTTGAATACATTTGCAAGAATGCCTAAAAACATATTCTCCCTTTGCCTTTTTCATTGAGTGTAAATTAATGACAGTTTAATTCATTTCAAGATAAATCCACAACTCTACAAGTGAAAGAAAAGTGAAGAGGTTTGATGACTTTCTCCAGCCTCTACAGGAGTTCATCTCTATGACGACTTAATTGCCAGACAGGATGTACAAATTATGATAGCACCTTCATCTTTCTTGTGTTCGGCGGTTGAGCTGTCGAGCTGGATTCTACAGAAATAGAACAACCTTTGTTTGAACATAACAATAATGTATTTGCACATTCAACAGGAAAGTAGGGAGGACACAGTGGTAGTCGACAACGGCAACAAGGTGGCATCAGGAGCTGGTAAACCCGGAAACGTCTCGGCTCTGGTTCAAATAAAAAGCTGTGAATAACTTTTATTCATCAGGCCAATTTACATAATACTGAACAGAATTCAACAGAAGCAAAATCTTTCATTGTCACTTGTTCCTACACCAGAGAGGGAGCCCCTGTGGACGAGGGTGCGTCCCCTCTGTGTGCAGACAGCGCTGTGCAACAACAGTTCAGAGAAGTTCTATGAAACTAACAGTGGAACCTTTTTTTTTTTTTTTTGCAAGTAATGCTCGTATAGCTCTTAATCTCTTTATTCCATGTAGACACTGCGGCTTAAACCCAATCCTGAAAAAATCTGCAAGCTTTCTTACTGACACGTAGCACATCAAACATCAATCTCACAAATGAGACAAAGGAGGAGAATTTTATACTTAAAAAACAAGGATAGAAAATGGCAACTATTTAAATTCCCCACAGGAAGATCAGGCGTGTTCTCACTGATTTCTGCACACTTTTTTTTTCCTTTTTCCTTTTTTGCATGGGACAGTTCTTAAACAGCAAAGCTGCTGCCGTGGTCTGTTACCAGGTTGGCACTGTGGACACATTTTGTGCAAATTTACCATATTAGGTGGAAGATCCATTTTACAGGTTTATTGTTTTAACACTTTAAAGTCCACAAAACAGTTCATAAATGTGATGGTTTTGTTTTTAAAAGCACTGAAAATGACTCAGAATATGCATGTAGGTAATGTTTCACAGGAAATGTCGCATAGATAAAATCAACACAAACAATACAGCCATATTTAAAAAGTAGAGTTTTATACCAGAAATTAAAATGTGTCTGTCTGAAATGTGTCCCCTCTGATGAGTGGTTTTATGGGGCTTAGACTATCAGAAACTGTAGGTTAGTTAGACTATTGGGCCTCTGGTTTTCACAAAATCAACCACACTGCTAAGGAGTCCAACCAGAAGCCCAATAAACTCAGTTTTGTAGGCTTGGAGTAACTTTTATCTTCATTTATATGACCTGATGAAACTTCAGAGCAGATTAAGTCTAAGTGATCTGAGGTTACATCTATGAAAGGGTTGACCTAGTCTTCCAGAATGCCCCATTGTAATCTGGGATTATACGGTATGTAATCCATGTCTGTATGGCTGTCTCGGAAGAAATGAGCCTCTCCACCTTACAGTCTACCCATTTAATCTAGAGTGCAAGTAAAAGGTTACGCCGCACATTATGCAGAGTAAGTATCTGTGCAACTGAGAGACAATAAGCTCAGTCTTTTCACTTCATCTCAGGGACACCGCTGGACAAGATCTTCACACTGCGTTTTTCACTTCTTCATCTTGAGGTCGGCTTCTATGGCACTACGGCGCCCTCTGGTGCCTCCATCCTGCAGTCAGAGGATGAAACAGCCACATTTAAGTAACTGATGCTGATGTTTTACTTCACAAACAAGTTGTGCTTTAAAGTCAAGCCTGTTTTTCTTTGTTTTAATAGGTACAGCTTTATTCTGTTGCTTCGAGGGGAAAAAAAAAAAGGCAAGAAAGAAAGGGAAGGTTTTAAACGCTACTTACAAAAAGAGAAAGGAGGAAGGCAGGAGAGGACATGGAGACAGTGTCCTGTAAGAGGAAAATGATGGACATCAGAGCTGCGACTCGAAAGTGCAGTGAAAGTGTCAAGAAGAAGCAAAATAATGACAAGAAATCTACAACACACAACATGAAAAGAACTGCTGAAAAACAAGCGTTTGAATACAAGGTTGGAACAAGCTTTAGGAGAGCTACTTTTAGAACAGATTTTTACATTAACTGATTTAACATTGATGTAATATTTATTGTTATTTACTTCCTTACTGCCCTGCCGTTGCACTGCTTTTCCACACCAGGTATTTTTAAGAAACATGCCAGCGTGTTTAGCTCAGGAACTACATACAACATATACTACAGACATATTCTTGTCAACCATTTTTCAAGGCATTGCATGAAGTTTTACAATCCTCTAACACCTTCCAGTCAACTACTGGTTTCATTGAAGGTCAGTATGCTATGAAATATCAACATGCGATGCTCGGAACTTGCTTCAGTTTCAGTTCAACTGCAAAAACTTTTTTATTTCACCAAAGTGTTATGCGACTGGGCCGTGAAAGTAATTTACACGTTAATAATCTGACTTGTGTTCTGTCAAAGTTACATCAGTAATCCATCCATCCATCATCTATACACCATTTAATCCTCACTAGGGTCCCGGGGGGGCTGGAGCCTATCTCAGCTGACCTAGGGTGAAGGCAGGGGACACCCTGGACAGGTCACCAGTCTATCACAGGGCTACACTTAGAGACAGACAACCAAGCACACTCACATTCACACCTACAGACAATTTAGAATCACCAATTAACCTCAACATGTTTTTGGACTGTGTGAGAGGAAGCTGGAGAACCTGGAGAGAACCCACGCTGCACGGGGAGAACATGTAAACTCCACGCGAACTGACGACCTTCTTGCTGCGAGGCAACAGTGCTACCACCTACGCCACCTTGCAGCCCTACATCAGTAATGTGTTTTTAAAAAGATAATTCGTGTCTATATCACAGTACATAGTACATTAGTAACATTAGCTTAAAAAATGCATCTTTGACAAAAAAAAGTTGACTAAATGTTATTGTAATTCATGAGGCCAATTATCTGACAAATTCTTTTCATACTGTTGTGAAATTAGTGGAAAATAACAGTTTTGTTTTAGGAAGAATGTCTCTGTTAAAACTCACATGTTTTGATAAACACATGAAGGTTTCGCATCTTAGCAAGTTGATTTTCATAGCATTCGAAACCAATGGCTACCTGAAGGGAATTCAATCTAAAATCAAACGTCATGCTTTGGAAAATGGCCAGCAGATATAGTTTGGCATCACTTTCTTCTACCTTAAAGTCAGCCTGTTGTCTCACCCTTGTCTCTTCTTCTGTACTCTCTGCTTTTGTCAAAATTCTAGTGAAGCACCTTGTCAGTAGAGTCCTGTTTGCGCGTGCTCTCACGGCCCCTCAGGCTCTTGGCGCTGATACCAGATTCTGCTGTCTCCATGATGAGCTGGGTAGCTAGAAACTGCTGGATCTGCTCCAGGACATCACGCTGCATCTCCACAGCCATGTGGTACACGTCATGATCCAGGCTGTTGTACATGACGGCATTCTGAAACATCAGCATGATGTCCCTCTGGAACTCGGCGGTGGTCCGTATCAAACCCGTCTCAATGTTCTTTTTTATGGTGGCCAGGTCCATGGGCCTGGAGAAGTGAAAAACAAAGAGCGGGAGAGTTGAATCGCTCTTTTTTTTTTAAGTTCCTGTAAAGTTGACATTTTTGTGATACAAAAATTTACAATTAGAGACGTGAATGTAAAATATGACCGCTGCGTACCTGTGCACAATACTGTGGTATCCAGGTGCAATTTCATCTGTTACGGGCTGAAGGAAGACATTTGCATACCTACAACAGGTTCACACAAAGTCTGTTCAGGTAATGATACAAAACAATAAAAAAGGGAAATACATCAGAGGTTGCTGAGCATCAGTGGCTAGCGTCACTGTCATTCTGACCTGTGATTGGCTGCTGCACGCCACACTAGCATAATGGCTTTCTTCCAAATCTTGTGAGCCTGCAGAGCCTCCAGGTCCTCACTGCACACAGAGCTGCACAGTGGTAGCGCATAAGAAGGAAGTAGTAAAAAAATCAAATGTCATAAAGAAGGTACTGACAAGCAGAAATTGGTCTGCAGCAGAACACACTGAAAAATGCAATATGCTTATCATTAAGCACCATCTGGGGTGCACTTTTACCATCATCTCACACAAATCACACTTTGTTTCCTCGCTAGATTGCCTGAATTTGAATTACTCACAACTGCGATGAAGCAGGGCTGCTGGGGATGGAGTCTGCGGTTGTGTGGAGCTGCAGAGACGAGGAAGCCGTGTGAAGGCTGTACCCGTCCTCGCTCTCGCTGGCCGCAGGCTCTAGCTCCGTCTCTCCGTCTGGCTCTGAAAAGAATTCCTCCACCCCATCGCCCTCGTCTTCTCCACATAATTCTGGCCCGTTGACCTCATTTTCTACTTTAGTCCCCGAGGCATTCTCTCTTCCCCCAACACTTATTCCATCCTTCACCTTCGTCTCCTGTAAAGATGGAGAAAGATGCAGAGAGATTAAAACAAAGCCTACAGTGCAGGGATACTGTGGAGCTACACACTCTGCATGTTCGCTTTGTCCTCGTTGGGTGCTATACCTTGGGATGCCTTTCTGTCAGTGGGCTATCTTCTAATACTGAGTCTGCCAAGATAGTAAAGATGAATAATAAGAAGGAAATGGTTATGCAAAATGCATAGTTGCATGCAAAATGCACGTTATGAAGCTAGTTAATACTAATATTCAATCATGGATGTGCATACCTCTGTGGGTTTTTTCAGGTCTTTGCTGTGCCCACTTCTCATTTTCACATTTTATGGTAACATCCAATGAAATTTGGTTTTTCGGGTGCACCACCTCTCCAGTCTCTCTCATTGCCTCAGACTGTGGAGGTGCTCCACTGTGGCAGTGCTCCAAACTCTTTGAGTTGCATGAGGATGAGGAAGTGGGAGGAAGGCTCCTCAGTCCCATTGGAAATGCTGCAAGATGGTTATCTTGACTGTTGCACAGAGAGGAGAGTGAAGCTTCTGTCCTCCCCTCCAGGCTACGGTGAAGAGATGAGGACTGTGGAGCCCCTGTGGGCACTGTGGGGTGAGATTCATGGGGCCGGAAAGGCCCGGCATCCCAGGCACCAGACAGAGTATGGCCATTCTCCTCACAAAGGGACAGAGCAGCTTCAACTGCAGCTGCATCCAAAGCCTCTGCAGCCTCATCTGCCTGTAGAAAAAGAAATATAACTCTACGTCTTAAAGAACATCTGAAAACCAAAACAAACACGGGTCCTACTTTTATACGTCACTATGTCCCTTATTCTCAGCACTGATGCTGGTGTGTAAGCTAATTAAACTGGATTCATGAACATAATGAACAATATCCACATTGTAAATAAACTGAATTTTCTCTAAAGCCTAAAACAGGTTTCATAAATGCTTTACTTTTCCACAACTGATCTCAGTGCTGTGAAGATATTGAACCTTGTCTTCAATGATGGCGATAATGTCCCCCACTGTCTTCAGGTCCAGCTCATCTCCCATATACGACACAGTAACATCCTCCTCACTGAGCTCTGACACCTTATCCTCTGCAGAGACCGGATGGCACCCAGGAGGTACGGATGGCACCATCACATCCACCTCTGCACACAATCAACAACTGATTTTCAACGGTTACTATTAATAAAATTTAATTATTAAGTACTGCTGGTATGTACTGTATTGAATTTTGCACAACATGTATATTATTTAAATATTTGTGAAACATAATAACACTCACTCTGTCATAGTTTGACCTCTAAATTATGAATCCTTTTGCAATTTAATAAACACAGTTAACTGCTGTAGCCAGAATATTATATTCCATCTTTGTTTGTTTAGAGGAAGTGGCCAACAAACAAGAGGGTTTTACATTAACCTGTGTGAGGAGGACTGGTGTGAAGGTGTTGTGCAGGTGAAAGAGACAGACCTGTGCTTGTTGTGTCGGTAGAGTTTACAGGAACAGGAGTGGCAGCTGAGAGAGGGACACTGGAGGCAGAGTCAGAATTGACCATAAAACCTAACGGAGGAGAAAACTGGGTGGGACCGGCCTCCAGGAGACGGGACAACATCGGGGCGCCTGCCACGCACACACAAACACACACATTAACACGCAAACTGCAGAGTGCATACAAAGCAGCTCGAAGCCCTCGGGCCAGCAAACGAGCAAACACCCTAGACAACAGCAGCAGCTTTATAGAGTCAGACATTTAGAGTTCAACAGTAAGATGAACAAATATATAACACACTCCTATAGAGAAAGACAGAAATGCCTTGAGCCCTCCTGGACTCCTCACTGGAACGTAATCTTGTGTAATTATTTACTCTCTGATTCATTTCTGTCGGTCATTATAAAGAAAATGAACTGCATACACAGTGACTCAGTGTCAAATAAACACTCCAATGCAGGGAATATATTTTATCATTATTTAATAACGATCAAACATAATATCTGTACCTGTTGCCTGAGAGTGAGGTTGACTAGGTGGAGCCAGCTGCAAGTCATGTGCTCCTGTTATAGTGCCAGTGGACAGGTCACCATCCCCAATCTGGGATACAGATGCAAAACAAACATTTTATGTATTTTGTCTGTTTTCTTAACCCCCCAAAAAATGCACATGAAGTATAATTATTTAGGATTTTGGAAATTTGGCTACTGATTCAGACATAGCGATCCATTATGTCAAAGGGAATTTTGTATGTAAACCATTCAAGGTTTACACGTAATAAAAATCTAAAGAATGTCACAGTAACGTCTCTACAATTTCACCAGAATCCCTACAGACAGCGCTAAAGGTCAAAAACATTAATGAACAATACACTTATTCTGACACAGCAGGCTTCATCAAATGGAAAAAAAAAACTGAAACAAGCTACTATTCCAGGTGGTAACTGTTCAGAAGCCATCCGAGATGAAGCTGTATTTCTAATTAAATACAAAAATAGCGAAATGCTCAGCTCTATTTAAAGCCCAAACGAGCTCCGGCCAAGAAAACAACAACACAGAACGGACAACTAAAGTATTAAATACTTTCGAAATGCACAGTAATTCTACAAATGATCACATAAAGAACGGATGCCCTGCAGTTTTGTGCATGTTAATTATAGAGCTCGGGACTGCTGGCATAATACAGAAGGTCCCTCGACATACCAGTCTGGAATTCGCTGCCAAGATGCTGCCTTTTTTCAGTAACTCAGACAGCAGTGGAGATGGTGGTGGTGTGGCTTTCTGGCCCAGGAGCTTCTTCTGAGTGGGGTCGTCCAGAAGCGACCCGTGGCTGATGTCATCGGTACCAGGTCCAGAAGACTCGGTAAATGTCAACAACCTAGCTGCTCCTGAAGCCTAGAGACAGACAGAGGGAGACGTGAAGTCATGCTGCCATGTTAATTTAGGAATCTAACTACTTCTTTTTCTCCATGTTTAAGAGAGAAATTAGTCTACTTTCCAGATTAATTAATAAAATCATAGCTCAAGTTTTGTTTTATTCCAGCAGGTACAGCTGAAGTTACAGTTACAGTTGCTATGCAGGGTATTTTACACATTACTGAGTCATAGCACAAGGATTCTGCTTTTCACATTCACAAGAAATTACTTTAAGAATTCTAAATCTGTGCCACAGAGGACCATAGTCAAAAACTGGCAGCGCTACTGTAAAAACTGGCATCACTTTCACATTATACCTGAACAAAACAGAACATCTTTAAATCTCAAAAAGAGGCACGACTGTTAAAAAGAGGGGCCGACCGTGAGCGCCTTTGAACCTTCCGAGACTTACGTTTTTTGTGGCTGTCAGATCCAGTGTCAAGCACTCGAGTGGGTCGCCTGGTGAGAACTCCTGGCTCGGGGAGCTGCAGCCGGAGGGCGAATGCATGGTGACGCTGGGCATCCGCTTAGGAGTGGTCTTTGCCACCTGTCTGGCTGGAAGAGGGAGGGACACCACGGAGAGGATTTCCTTATCAGGCATGCAAAAACTGGTGGTCAACTTTCTTTTTCTACCTGCTTTTTTTAAATCAAAAGAGACAAGCAATGATTATCGGGCTCAGTAGTGCTGATTTGTACGCAGATAAGCACAAGTATATCTCTGAAGTAACTTTTTCTGTGCATTTTTATCAACTCTACAGTCAGTCTCTTTGCTATACAATGTTATCCATTGATCTAAAAGCTCTAAAATCTGTTACACTTTCAGCAGAAGTTGAATAATGAATGCGTTCAGCAAGTGGGGCAAGAAACTCCACATGAACCGTCTCAGTTGTGTTTCGGAAGTGAACACTATTTATGGAGCATCAGTGAGATCAATGAAAAATGCGGCACAAAAATTAAAGGAGATACCCTGATAAGCAGCATCTGTGTTTTTTCTTTTTAACTCCGCTTCCTCCTCCTCTAGTTTCTTCTTCCTGGCAGACACACAAAAGATATTTGTTCCTGTTTATTACAGTCGAATGTCTAAAAACAGAAAAGCAGATGTAATTGTAAGGTTCGTTTCTTCTTACTGCCGAATTTCTTGCCACAGATCTTCCAGTTTGGAATCCAGGTGTCCTGCTTGGATCAGCTCAGCCTCTCTCTTTAGCTTCCTATGAAAACAACACATTGATGAAGTTCATGATGCAGCTTCTTTGTTTTTTTTTGGGCTGAATGATGATGTGCTCATGCCGGTAAAAGTGATGCAGTGCTACCTGTGCTTCTCCTGCGTTTCTTTGATCAGCTTCTTCAGTTCATCGATCCTCTCAGACGTCAGCCTGCGCACTATCACATCCTCCACCGTCTCCACCACTTCACCTTTCTCGCCACGTTTCCGCCTGGCGGTGACAAATGCATTAGCTCTCGACAGCGCTTTCCGTCACTTGCTGTCAGTGTCAATGTACTGTAATCTATGTAAACTTGCGAGATCTACAAAAGCATGTTGAAGTAGAAGTCGCTTATGTTCTCACTTTGGGGCCTCCGTTGTTTCCAGGAGCTCGGAGTATTTGGAGGCACAGTGCTGCGAAGATCCAAAGCAACAATCAACAACAACTATAATCTGTCAAACCTGCTGCAGAGATCATGAATTGCGTTTCTGTGTTCGGAGGCTGAGGCCAGATTTCGTCATACCTTTTGAGAGAACCAGTCAGGTGGTCGTCCAGGTTCTGCAAACGGTTTGATGGCTCGGCTGACAGACACCCTGTTGAGATGAAAACATGTTAGAACACAAAGACTTCAAAACACTGTCCTAGTTCTGTCCTAGTGAATTACAGTTATTTTTCCCCTTCTCTGTAATGTTTTCAAAATCAATTTCATCATTCTATTTGTTAAAGTCTCTCTCCTGTTATTGATTACATTGTTAAAAACTCTGCATCAAAGTTACATATTTAAGAGGTTTTAGCCCATGAAAATAATCCCCCTCGGCTAAAAATAGCTCAGATGCAACTCTACACTGTTGCTTCCTCGAGAATTTGTACATCTATGAAGTACAGACCTCTGCAACCCGCTGCAGCTCGAGCACACCAGCTCGCCCGCAACTCTGCTGGCAAAACTACTCAACGTTACACAATGGCAAGTTGTAATATTAGAGTAATTCAGCTACACTTGTTGGAACTGGATATCAGTTTTGAAAAAAGATAACAATACAGCCAGCCCCACCCTTCGAGCTGAAAGGATTGGTTCTTTTGAGTTGCTACACATTAAACCTTGGAAGTCTGAATCTGTACTTTTGAGACTGCTATCAGTACACTGCAGTTTCAAGGTGCTCAGCTGTGGCACTGACTGCTTATTTCTCTAATGATGTGTTTCACTGCATACATAATCACCATATGGACACGTTGACAGGTAAAAAAAAAAATCTTAATTTTTTTCGTTAATTTATGCAGACATTATGCAAAAATGAAAGCCAGCATGCACCGGGGATCACCACGGACAGCATGCCGGTTCAAAACAGTTCATCAGAAAGACAACTACATTAGAGGTCGACCGGTGTGGATTCTTAAGAGCTTGATGTTGATAATGCTTCTTACTAAGCAAGGAGACAAATCACTGATATTTGAAACATTT